CGTCAGGTGTGTGTGAGTGGATGATGCTCATGCTTGCAGAATGCTTGGATGGACAGTTCCTACTAGAAGATGCCGAAGAAGTCCTCCTTTGTAGGTCTCCGATCGGTTTGACCGATTGCAGGTCCTTATACGATCATCTCACGTCCCTAGGCAGTGGAGGCATCCTAGATGATAAGAGAACAGCAATAGACATCGCAATCATCCGGCAGTCAATACAGAGAACTAAGCTAGAGCCTAGATGGTGTCCCACCACATACATGGCTGCAGACGCTTTGACCAAAGATCGGGCAGAGCCGATCGACCTCCTTCGCTCAATTCTTCGGAGTTCCCGCTATCAACTGGCGGACGAACAGATTGTGATGGACCGACGAAGAGAAGAGAAAGAACGACGAAGAAGAGTTGCCCTTCAAAGGTCAGAGCCACATAAGCCAAAGTCGAGCCAGAGGGAGATAGATAACCTCTAAGCTGTGTTTGTTTCGTCTTGAAATCAATGTGAAGGGACATTGTGTCAAGTTTTTGCATTCACATCTTTTTGCCAGAGGTAACCAATTAAATCTTTGTGCAGTTTTTCGAGCCGAGGGTTTCAGTTCGTGTATGAGCGCTGTGAACCTAGCCAACTTGTTGAACTTGATGTGACATAAGATCATTTGCAGATTCACGGGGTAATCAAGCAAGTGTTTGTTGCACTGTGTTCAATGCTTGTTTCCGTGTGCATTTTCGCTTCCGGTGAGCCCCTTTTTCAGTTTTCAGCAGAGAATCCGTGTCGAGCAGTTGCTTTGAGTTGTGTTGGAAGATGGCATCCAACCGTGCAGAGCCGGTGAGTCCTGACGAGCTCGCTGCTGCCAGAGAAGTCATGGCCCGAGCAAGCGCCTTCGGTGTGAACACCAAGACCGGCGGCTCAATGAACGATTCCGTGAAGCGGCATCGTGACCATGCTCAAGCAGAGGCAGACGACTGGGAACCGGTCACCTACAACGAAGAAGGTGGCAAAACAGTCATGTGTGAGCGAGTGATGCCCAAGAAGGTGTTGGACCAGATGCCGGTAGCTCCGGGAATCCAGAAGACAAGTGCGACTGTGAGCTTACCACCGGGAGTCACAGACCTACAAGATTGGGGAAGCACAATTTGTGCTTTACCCAAGGTAGCATCGGAGAAGCTGTCTTACAATGAGCTGATGCAGAGCTCAAAGCATGTGTCATACCTCCGTTGGGTTGCCGCTCACGGCCAGAACCGCGGAGGACGCTTTGAGGATTTGGCATTGTTCCTGAAGGCGGCAGGCTTTGATGAGAAGGCCGAGTCAAGTTGCTACCCGGGCTCATCAGAGACACGGGAGAGGAAGAAATAGTTTCCTCTCATTCCACTGCTGAGTTATGACGTTTGGTGTGAGCAAGAGAGCACTGCAGCACAGGATCCGGAAGATCTATAGTTGCTTGTACTTTTGTATAGAAGATTATGGGAGTTTGAAAGCAGTGTCACCATTCGGATCGGCAGTACAGGTTGGACGTCCGCAGGCACCCTCACGAGGCTCAGGTTGGCCGGAAAAGGAGGCGGCCGCATGGTTTGGGGTCGGGGTGGCCCCGTAGAGACCTAACTGGTCGAGTTTGAACACTCGTATATTCTGAACATGTGGAATGCGGAATGCGCCTGTATGATCTGTCAGGTAAACCGTAAACATCCGTAAACTAGTAAACCTGGAAATGCTCAACCTCAACAGACAATGCTTTAAGCCCTATGACTTGGTCGAGCAGAATCCAGAGGGATGATCTGCAGGAAGGTTGCTTCAATCAGTTGTGGCAAATTTGCTGGACCATCTGTTCAAGCCTCAAGCTGCTGTTCTAAATGTGGCATTTCTCCCAAAGAAAAACATCACGCATCATGCTGGTAACACAGTCAGCTCCGAAGACTGAACGCCCAGAGTATGTATGCCCTAAGCCTTAAGGCCTAGGCCGGTCCTGCGTGGATCCCTCAGGTGGAAATGTCATCAATTGTTGAGTCGTCTTATGTAGAGAAGAAACTGGATGAAAAAGCTTCCATGGATTCAAACAGTTGTAAGACTGTAGTCGCTTATCTATGATCAGAAAGTGTGGTCTATAGCAGTCTATACCATGTTCTACTCTACTTCCAGGAACTAGGGCCCGGCACAAACATCACAAACCTTTCCAGATCACTCTTCGGCTGCTAAATCCAACACCTGGGGAAACTCACTACTTGTAATCTTTCGATTGGATTTCATGGTGGAAGACTACTGGAAGACCCACCATTCTTTCCCCAACCTGCTCCAAGGCTGGCGGCGCGCCCTGCTCGCTCGTCGGGGGATGGCCGCGAGAAGCACCAGCTCCGTGAGAAGTGTCTTTGAGGCGGAAGAAGCATGGCGCGTTCCAAGGGGAAGGGTTGGCACGGCTGGCAAGTGAAGATCAAGGTAATTACTAAGAGGCATCCATGTAGCAATCCCCAAGAGATAGATCGATCATACTGCCTTCCTTGGGTTGTGTATGCATTTTCCTAAGTATAGATGTGTAAGGCAGAAGTTTGACAACTGTGACTGTGGTCTCTTAAATTCTAGTTTGCTCGGAGTCTCACGTAAGAAACTCGAAGGGGTAGACTGCACGAACTGCATTGGTTTGAGCATAGAGCCAGGGCTGGTCACACCTCGAACCCTCCAAAAGAGAAAGAACAGCATTATTATTATTATTATTATTATTATTATTATTATATATATAGATCGATTCGTTGAGAAGCGGGTTACTGGCCTTGGTTGCAGCCATGTTCTTCAGTGTAGATGTGATGGTTTGACCTGCTACCTTCTCACATCAGTCAGTTGTTTTTCTGTTCAGCTTCCCCACATCATCCCACATACTTCGCACTTGAGGCGACTCAAAGCAGTTGTAAAATACAGCGGTCAACTTCGTCGCTGAGCGGTCTATGGTTTTCCTGTATCTTCTTCTCCGAGCTGAGTGGCGAAAAAAGCACACGGACCATGACGTGTGTTTGGATTCAATCTTTCCGCACGGACCTTGTTATGCTGACTGTTGGTAATAAATCCTTCGTACCCAGAGGATTTCCTTGAGATTTCTTCAGATTCCTTCTACTGCAATTCCCTTTTTTAATGTCAATTTCCTTTATGTAGGATCCTATTCATTCTACTTGGTGCTTGGTCCGTTTTCCTTTTGGACTCAATTTTCCAATTTCTTTGGGGGTTCTTGGGCGTCCTTCTGATTTCCTTTGATTTCCCCTTTATATTCTACTCTAAATCCTATGTACAAGTAAAGCAGAAAATTCAATCCAGGCATTGAAGGCAATCAGGATTCAAAGCTGCTTTCTTAACAGTACAGCAAGGACTTGAATAGATATACTGTAACTTTGTACTCATTGAAGATACAGCAAAATGGAATTCTGGAACGGATCCAGTCTCTGTGCCTCATGTCCAAAGATTCTTTCAAGATCGTGTCGATCCAGATGCGGATGGTGCCATGTCCTCTAAACAGATCCATGCAACCTGCAAAGTCTGAAATTCCTGAAGACATGGTGAGTGCCTTTAGGCAAGTTTGTGGGAAATTCAAGGCACAACTGTGTGCAGCAGTTGTTCTGGGCTACCATGCCATATCAATTTGGAAGCCAAAATCTGGTTCCAAAGTTCCAAATCAATCCTAGACTGGGCGTGACCCAGGCGCCGCGCTTGTCCATCAGCTCCTGCGGTGAGGGGGAGGTGCTCTTTTTTGTGTACAGTGGTTGCACCAGCGGGCAGGGTTCAGAAAGAAGACCTTGGTTGGATGGTCTTGATTTGGTCAGAAGCTAGGGCAGCTTCTAAAAAGGTCCAGGCAGAGTTTGTGATGTTGCACTCGTTTTGTTGGCTCGACAAACCATCCCTTTGAAACCCCGTGTTTATAAGTGTTGTTTTGCCAGATTCTATCAACAGATTATGCCACCATTTATATGGCATACATTGGTGGGAACGTGTTAACTGCCAACCATTTTGACCATTGTGAACATCATAACTGGAGAGGGTCTAGTTGCTTCTTGCTTACAAAGTCTCACATATACCACAATTGAAAGGGTTGTTTGCACTTGTATAGTGTTGTTTGTGTTGTGCGGCTGAAACTATATAATGGAAATCACATCAAAGCAACAAACACCACTTGCACAATACCTGCTGTTGTTGCGAAGGAAGCTGCGCCAGCCACATCAAACGAAAAAGTTGCCACCTCAACGAGCTATGAGCACTTTTGCAGTTGGCAGCAATTCCGTTCAAAACAATATATAGATAGATACACCGCTGGTTTGCGTACACTATTGTGTTAGCCTTGCCATTGTTCTATGCGTGCTGTGTTTTTGGGTAGAATGTTGGGCATCCCTTGAGAGCTTGATTCAACTGCTTTGACATGTGTATCCGAGGCATGGCTGGCCAGATGATGCTTCTGTTTGGCGTGCACAAGTGGATCGATTGAAGGACAAATACCAGTGTAGCTTTGAAAAGGTTTGGGCCATATGTCGCAAGCGTTTTTCATCCTACTTAGCAGTCTGTAAATGATTGTCGACATGTTACCACTAGCTTTGGGGTCAAAGCCTTGGCAGAAGGTCCCTGTTTTGAACATTGGCCCTACCTTCACCGTTTTGAGACATGTTTTTTCGTGAACCTCACCTGTTGGTGATCGAGTTTGTGCTGAACCGCTTAACCTTAGGAGGGTATGTTTACAGAGAGAGGCGTCCTTTCAAACAGCTCTTTGAGCCTCCCACTGGAAAAGTCCTCATTTTCCAAAGCCACAAGTGGGCTGCTTTTGTTGCAAGCATGCTAGCAGATGCAAGTTATGGCTGGTTGTAATGCAAGGGAAGATCATGAAGACTGGTTTGGCAGATGTGGACTGTCGACCAGGTTGGCTCCAACTACTACCTGCAGGTGTAAGTGGTAGAATGCAAAAGCCACAATGCTATTCATGCTATTCTTTGGGAGTGGCTACGTGTTTGGTCGATGTAAGAAGGCCAAAGAAGGCCCAGAAGGAAGACAACTTGGAGGCTAACCACAAAATAGGCCATAATACGCATAATGAACCATATCAGTTTCTTCTAGCATACGCCACACACTGGGGACTACTCCACACACTTCCTGGTTTTCTCTGTGTTGTTGGTGGGGCTGGCATTCGTAGTTGTGGTAGTGGCTTGTTGTTTTGTCAGTTTGGTTTATGTGGCTCTCGTTCTTGCGTTGTTTGGTTTTCACTCGTTCTTGGTTCACCAATTTGCCCCTGCAGGTAAGTGTGTGACAATGCCCCACTTTGGCGGCCGCGAAAGTGCCATAGCCCTCCAGCATCGGCCTCAGGCAGGGCTCTCTCATGCAGCAGCAGCAGTCCCTCTCGGGGCTTCCAACTAGGACTATGTTCCTCTACCAGACCGGGGGAATGTTGGTTGTTGGGGGTGTCATGGTCTACTGGAACAAGTTCTGCACCACTCTTCGATCCTGTTTTGTATGGAAGACACAAATTGCAGGATATGTCGTGTGGTACAAATAAATCAATCGTTAAGTAACGTTGATTCTTTGGGATTCTGTCCATGTTTTCATATATTATATATATATATATACATCATGGCAGGTCACTCAAGGGATGGCTACACCGGCGATGGGGTGGTTTTGATGTGATGTTTCGGACTATGACTCTGCTGTTCAGTTGCTGTTCAGCGAAGCATGGGTGCCACAGGTGGTTGGGACATGGACGACTTCTGCATGTTGAAGGCCAAGCGGTAGATTCGGAAGGCCAAGCGGTAGATCAGTACGTGTTGCAAAGAATACGGTATATATATATAAACCCAAAGGCAGAAGTGCATGGAAACTCTCCTCCCTGTCCTCATATCATTGGGATTCCACCGAGTCACTTTAACAGATGAACCGGTGTTAGACAAGATATGTTGTTCTTCTTCAGCCGCGGGACCTTGCAGGGCTACAGCTTCGAGGAGATGGCGGAGATCTTGGCGGATAATATTCGCCGCTGAGCGCACATTAGATCAAACACGATCGCCTTTGCAACGAAGGAGCAGGTCCCACGAAATGGATCCGTGGGGAAGCAGTCTCAGTTGGCAGAAACTGACTTGCTGGAGGCGGAATTGATCGATCTCCGTCGAACCAATGCAATACAACCTTACCATTCGATTCATGCGGCCTTTGTCAGGGCCTCGTATGACTCCATTCTGGTGCAGTATGCACAGCGGTTCGGCTGTTCAGTACAAGTGAAACGAGGCACTATATAAAATATATGTAGAAATTAGATCCTGTTTGTATGTACAGCCCATATATACTCCGCTAGGGTACTGCAGACACGTGACTCATGACGTGTTTTTTGGCTCAAGGTAAAAAGGCGTTCCGTAACGTCGACACTTTGTTTTCATGGTAGCGCGTGAGCCCGGTGAAAGCGAAAGGGACCAAGCGCTGCGCATCAAGGAGGAGAGACATAGTAAGGTAGAGACCTCCGAGGAGGAGGATCAGGAAATCCCGGGAGCGGCCGCTTCGGCCGCCCCGAGTGGAAAGGAAGAAAAGGAGGAGGAGCCTTTGCCAGCCACATCAGCGGCGGAACCAGCCGCAAACACCACTCCGGCGGTTGTAGAAACTGCCGAAACAACATCAGCGGTTGAAGGAACCGCGGAAACAAAGGAAGAAGAAGAGACCACAAAAGAGACAGAAGGAGGAGAAGAAGAGAAGCCTGAACAAGACCCCACAGTAGAGCCAGAGGCTGAAGCGGCTGATCCAGCCGCACAGCCATCGTCTGGCCGAGTGATCGCCGACTTCATCACATCCCAGAAGGTGTCAAAACAGGTTGGGAGGTTCGTGGCATTCACGCCAAATATACCCCAGCCAAAGTTGATCCCAAGGCACCTTGGAGGGTGAAGAAGAACATTTGGGGACAGGTCAAGAAGCATCCAGAGCCACAATCCGGATTTCGACTTCGAAGCAAGACTTCGCTTCAGTACCGGAGGCTCAAGGACCTGGTCAGGCTGCAGAAGAAGAAGGGTGTCATCACAGAGGATCTGAGGAGGCGCATCAAAGAGTTCGGAAAGGGGCGCACTCCACAAGAGATCAAAGAAGAGCGGGAAGAGCAGAGGGTCCGCAATCAGGAGAAGCGGACCAAGAAAAGGAAGACCTCGGAAGCGGCTGATCCAGCCGAGGAGGAGGAGGTCGAAGAAGAAGAAGAGTCGGTGAGCCATCCAAGTCCGGTTCGACAGCCTCGAACACCGGACGGGCCACCGCCGGCTAAGCGACCGCAAACCCGCGACACCGAGCGGGGACGGGCGGTCTGCAGGCGTGCACTGGAGTTGAACCTCCGCATCGTCGCCCTAGCCAACGAACGGGCCCAGAGAAAATTGGAAATTAGAGAGCCCGTTCCAAGTGCGAAAGTTTGCGGCCGACGAACTTTGCGAGCAACGGAATCTCAAGGGCACCGTTGCATTGGCCGCCATTCGCGAATTGTGGAAGACCCCCAACGAACAAGGAAAAAGAGGATCCAATGAGGCCTGTAGTTCTTGTGACGAACGGCGGCAGGCACAGCTGCCGGTGGTGAAGGACTACATCAAACGGCGAGGACTTAAGGGACCTGCCGTTCTTGGATCGAGCGCCAAGTCCAAAGCGGCGCCAGCATTGAGCCTGACACCTGGGCCGAAAGCGAAGGCCAAATCAAAGGCCGGACCAAAAGGAAAGGCCAAACCATCCGCCGCACCAAAAGTAGCGGCTGAAGCGAAGGCCACAACTGTGGGTCGTCGCCCGGAAGAACTCACACGGACTACTGTTGAAGTCCGTGGAGTGCCAAAACCTTCCGATCCTTGACCGGGCGAACCGCCCGCGACTGCCGCTGGAAAAGGAGTGAGCGGCAGCAGCAGCAGGGGTTGAGGGTAGGAAACCATGGAACAACAGATCCAACAACTGAGTGAAATGGTACTTCAACTCCAACAGAACCAAACGAGCTTGGAGCAAGAGAATCAAGTGTTGAGGGAGTCTCAAGGCGGGGTATCAATGCTAGCCTCAGCCGTAGGAGAATTGGCTAAGAGCCTTGAGAAGAAAGAAGATAGGCGGAAGACCCAAATCCTTATGGACACCAAAGGTTTGGGACGCCCCGAGAGTTTTGGGAATGTTGAAGGGGATTTCCGAAAATGGGCCAGGAGCATCGACAACCTGTTCATAACTACTTTTGGGAGAGAGTTCATTGAAATCCTAGAGTACATTTTGGAACAGGAAGACGCGATTGAGATGACTAAAATAGAAGAAGAGTTTGGGTCTGGCACCGTTACTGATATCGGTGACCTCGAGGATAAGGCTGATCAGATCCATCGCGTCCTCCTGACCCTGACCTCAGGTGAAACAGAGGATTTGATGGTAGGAGCTTCAAATGGGTTTGAAGCATATCGGCGAGTTCACCGCCGTTGGGATCCCCGAACCTCGGGACGGAAACGCAAAATATACTTCGAGCGATTCTCCAACCGGAGAGAGTCAAGACATGGGCCGCGGTGAGGCCAGCGATCGAACAGCTCGAAGAGCTCATCAGGCGGTACGAGTCTCGGAGGAGTGCCGCAGGGATCAGGGAAACCCTATCGGACGATATCAAGTCCGCTTCATTGGAGATGCTGGTACCCCCAGATTTGGAAAAGCATCTTTTGTTGAACAAGAGTAGATTGACAACTTACTCGTTGATCAAACAGGAGATTGAACTTGTCATTGAAACATCCCTCACATCAAAGTCATCTGTTCCAAAACCAGGTTCATCGAGTTCGAGTTATCAAGGACCTCGACCCATGGACGTCGATTCGATCGGACAATGGATCGCAAGCCTGGTAAAAGGGAAAGGCAAAGGAAAAGGCAAGCGGGCCAAAGGTGATGGAAAGAAAGGCTCAAGCAAAGGGGGCTCAAGTAAAGGCTCAAACCCGGCTCAAGATATTACCTGCTACAATTGCGGTAAGAAAGGACACCGAGCGGCCGATTGCTGGAGCAAGAAACGGCCGGATGGAAAAGGCGATAAGTGGTCAGGTTCAGGCAAAGGAGATAAGAGTGGTAAAGGTGGCAAAGGCAACAAAGGCAAAGGTGGAAGAAGCGGCAAAGGTAAAGCCGCAGGAAGTATGGAAGAGATGGACGATCCGGATGATGGCGTTGAGCCAGCTCCGGAGGCTGATGTCGGAATGCTCATGGCAGACTTGAGTGGAATTGGAATGGCGGATACCTCATCCGCCGAAGAATGGATGAAGTTTAACCTGGACACTGGAGCAGCCCAGACAGCCATCCCGAATGGCTGGGAGGATCGAGTGGTTGTCAGTGAAGGCAACGGAGTTGTATTCAAGACTGCATCAGGAGAGTTGGTGCCCAGTCAGGGCATTGGAACCTTTGAAGGGTTCGATGAGAGCGGCAACAAATGCCGTGTGAAAGGTTCAATGGCTGATGTTCACAAGCCATTGATTTCAGCATCCAAGTGCTTAGGCTTTGGAAGGATTGCAGTTCTTGATGCAAATGGCGGAAACTTGATTCCGCAAGGGTCCAAAGTTGGAAAGGCTGTCCAGGCGATCCTGGAGAAAGCGAACGCTGCAGAGCAGCGGAGCTGGATCCCTGTGTATCAGGAGCAGGGAGTGTACAACTTCTACTTGAGAAAGCCAGGGTATAAACCGACAAAGGAATGCTGTGGCATCGCAGAGTTGAACGCCACAGGAGAAAGAGGAGATGCCTCTATGGATTCAGGCCGACCTGGTCCAGAGGGGCGAGAAGAGGATGATGAGTTGGAATTAGTTGATGAGGTTGAGAAACCCATCCAGATAAGAGCACCGGAGGACCCAACTCCGGTTGAGATCGAAGAGCACGAGGCGACAGGCCATGTGCAGTATCGAAGTTGGTGCCGGCATTGCATTGCTGGACGGGCTGTGGGACAGCCACATCGGACGAGGTCCGAGGAAGAGAAGGCCAAGAGCCTTGTGCCCACAGTGGCAATGGACTATACGTTCATGTCACGGGGCGGTGTGGAGGACGAGCGAGTGAAGCCGATCCTCGTAGTGAAGGATGAGAGGACACAGTCCTTAGCGGCGACCTTCGTGGACTCGAAGGGGGCGACGCCGTATGCGGTGAAGTTCGTGGCGAACTTCTTGAAGAACTTGGGGCACCGCAAGGTGGTCCTCAAGTCAGATGGCGAGCCATCAGTGGTAGCCTTGAAAGAGGCAGCGGCGAAAGAAACCGGCATAGACTGGGTTTCGGAAGAGTCGCCAGTAGGAGACCATCAGGCGAATGGTCTGGCAGAGAACGCCTGCAAGGAGATCAAGTGTCAAGTACGAGTTCTCCGCAGCGCGTTGGAAGAGAAGCTCGGCAAAGAGCTCAAAGATGATGATCCTGCATTGGCATGGCTGCCAAGGCAGGCGGGAGACCTGTTGAGCAGGTACAAGAAAGGTCAAGATGGCAGAACGCCTGAGGCCAGAAGATGTGGAAAGCAATGGCGAAAACCTGCCATAGCTTTTGGTGAGCGCCTATACTTTAGAGAAGTAGGCGAGGGAGTTCGCATCCTGAAAGAAGGACGCTATGTAGGACACCATGGCCGAACAGGATCCATTTTGGTGATGACGGCCGATGGCGCGCGAAGAGGCACAGGAATCCGGCGGCTGAGTTCAGCCGACCGCTGGGACCCAAGTGATTGGGACCTTTTGCGGGGCTTACCGTGGGAACATTCCGCGGCAAGGCCTGCCGGTGAGCAGCTGATGCTCGAAGAGCGCCTTGTGGTACCACCTCCCAAGGAGGAACGAGTGGCACCACCACAGCAGAGGCGAGTGTACATCAGGAGAGAGGATGTGCACAAGCATGGAGCCACAGAAGGCTGCCCAGGATGCAAGTGCATCTTGGAAGACAAGAGGACGACCTTGCCGCACACAGAGGCGTGCAGAGCAAGGATCACCGAAGCAATGGAAAAGGATGAAGCTGGGCAAGCGAGACTTGAAGCCCATGCAAAGAAGAGGAAAGAACGGCAACAGCTTGACACTGTGAAGCCGAAAGTCGTGGCCGATAAGGACACTGACATCACGGCCGAAGACGCGGCCGGAGAACCAGAGAAGAAAGAAGAAGCAAAGAGCGCAGGGTCGGGAAGCCCGCCGCCAGCAGCGGTAGAGGGTGAGAAGACCTATCCCGATGACCCGAAAGAGAGATATGAGATGAAGAGGCAAGCAGCCGAGATAGAGAAGAAACCAGTGGCAAAAGCCAAGGTAGCAACAGAGCCCAAGAAGAGGACAGGAGAGCTTAGGATAGATCCACCTGGGGCAAAGGTCAAGCCGAATCCAGCTCAAGGAACAAAGAGGATGGCAGAGACCGCCGTAGAAGACCTTGATCCCAGGGTGGAAGAGAGTCCAAAGAAAACTGAGACGCTTTCGTATGTTCCAGAAACACCACCAGCAGGGCGGAAGCCAGATGCAGCCAGCTTGGTAAAAGAGAAGGAGATCGCAAAGCAGCATCTGAAGAAGATCATTCAAGGAACCTATGAGGCGAATGGCATCGAGATCTCTGAGCAAGAGATCGGAGACATCGCTCATTTGAGCATGCAGATGTCAGCAGTAGATATCATGGAGATCTACTCGCCCAAGAGGTTCACTGCGCTTGCAGAGCGCTACAAGTTGCGACCGGGTTTTGCGGTCGACTTGAATGAAATGAAAAGCGATGGAACATACTGGGACTTGAACAAGTCTGAAGATGTTCAAGAAGTGCACGACATCCTTGAAAAGGACGAACCGGCGCTTTTGACTGGTTCGCCACCGTGCCATATGTTCTCACAGCTCCAGAACCTCAACTGGAGAAGCATGGCACCGGATGTCCGGAGGAGGAAAATGGACGAAGCCGTCCACCATCTTCATACGAGCGTAGAACTGTATGCCAAGCAGCATCGCTCAGGGAGAAAGTTCCTCCACGAGGCACCTTGGTCCGCAACTATAGTTGGAAGGATGAGAAAGTTGCGGCCTTAGCAAAAGAGGATGGAGTGTTCGTAGTAAAGGGTCCAATGTGCAGGTGGCAAATGATGGCCACTGACCGAAGAGGACTCCAAGGCACCGGCTATGTGAGAAAGGAGACCGGTTGGATGACCAACGATGAAGGGTTGGCCAGAGTCTTGCAAGGAGTCTGCTCGAATGAATCGGGCAAAGGACCATGGGACAGACACATCCATCTGATCGGAGGCATTGCTAGGCAGGCAGCGGTATACCCACCGCAGCTTGTGAAGGCAGTACTAAGGAGCCTGCGTGACACGCTGGCAGAGAAAGGTGAGTTGAATACCTTTGATCTGTTTGCAGCAGGCCCAGTTCCAGAGATGCCTCTGATGGACCCAGAGTTCGAAGAGATATACATGGATGATGTGAACGGTGGCATTTTGCCAGCCGAGAAAGTGAGAGAGGCAAGACGCCTTGAGATGGATTATTTGAAAGAAAAGCATGGTGTTTATGTGACCCGGCCGAGAGCCGAATGTTTTGAGGAAACGGGGAAGCCCCCGATTCCAGTCAGATGGTTGGACACCAACAAGGGAGATCCGACAAACCCGAACTATAGGAGCCGTTTAGTTGTGCGTGAGATAAAGGCAAGAAAGACCAAAGAAGAACAATTGCCAGCCAACTTGCTTTTCAGCAGCACGCCCCCATTGGAGGCGATGAGACTGCTGTGCTCGTTGTGGGCAACAAAGAGAAAGTCCTGCCACAACCAGCCGCTGAAGCTGGGCTTGTGGGACATCTCACGAGCACACTTCTATGGAACTCCAAAGAGAAAGATCTACATAGAGCTGCCGCCTGAGGACGAAGCCAGCAAAGATGGGCAGACCTGTGGACTTCTCGTGAAGTCGATGTATGGAACACAGGACGCTCCAAATATCTGGCAGACGCACTACACAGAGACTCTGTAGAAGGCTGGTTTCCGCAGAGGCTTGTCAAATGCGTCAGTCTTCTACCAAGAAGCTTGGGACGTCAGAGTGATGGTGCATGGAGACGACTTCCTAGCGCTTGGAGACGCCCAACACTTGGAGAAGCTCAGCCAAGTCCTCAAAGATGCCTATGAGCTGAAATGTCTTGGAATTCTTGGAGACGAGGATGGAGACCGAACAGAAGCTCATTTTCTGAATCGGTTAATCCGAGTTGATAAGAAGAACGGCAAAGGATCAATTGTGATCGAAGCCGATCGGAGACATGTTGATCTTTTGATCCAGGCATTTGGTCTGGAGAAGGCAAATGGTGTAGAATCACCAGATGTCAAGAAGTCGGCAGATCAGCAGATGCTGGAAAGCCGCAGTCCGCCGCTTGATAAGAGCGAGGCATCAAAGTATCGTTCAGCAACGATGCGTGCTGCGTACTTGTCCCAAGATCGACTTGATATTGGACACGCAGTCAAGAACCTTGCTCGAGGTATGGTATCACCAACAGAAGCCAAACTTGCTGACTTGAAGCGTCTCATCAGGTACTTGAAGAAATATCCTGATGTTGGGCAATGTTTTGGCTCGCAGCAGACACCCTCAAGGCTGAGGGTGCAGGTCGATGCCGACCATGGTGGTGACGCTGTGACGCGCAAAAGCACGACTGGCATGGTTGCTATGTACGGCATGCACGTGTTGAAACACAGTAGTAACATCCAATCCACTGTAGCCCTTTCTACAGGTGAGAGTGAATACTACGCACTTGTGAAGGGAGGATCTGTGGGCTTAGGCCTCCAAAGCCTATGCGCAGACCTTGGTTTGGATTTGGGAGTCACCATCGAGGGCGATTCCAATGCAGCCAAAGGAACTGTGAATAGAGTGGTTTGGGTAAAGCCAGACACATCCAGACTCGCTACCTATGGTTGCAAGAAAGGGTCGCCGAAGGCCACTTGAAAGTGCACCACGTTCCAGGTCTCAAGAACAAAGCCGATGTTTTGACCAAGTCGGTTCTTGGGGTGCAGCTTCGCAAAACCATGGAGGACCTGCAATATGCATTCCTCAGCAAGCGAAGCAAAGGACAGTTAGATGTTTTGGAGTAAGGTCCCTGGCCAAGCTCCACTACCATAACTGAAAGTGGCTAAGCAGCGAAGAGTTTCACATGTTTACTTTAAGCTTGCGCAGCAGTACAGTGCTTTGCAAGAGGAGGAGTGTTTGTATGTACAGCCCATATATACTCCGCTAGGGTACTGCAGACACGTGACTCATGACGTGTTTTGGCTCAAGGTAAAAAGGCGTTCCGTAACGTCGACACTTTGTTTTCAGATCCTGAGATTGAGATCACGAAAGGTAGCGGTTACGCTACCTGAGTTTTCCTTTTGCTTCAGCAAACATGAACTATAACCAGAGTGGACACCCATCTCACTGAGAATCGCCCTCCGACATTTCATTTTAGAGGCCGGGGGGGGCCCGTGCCTTGAACGCTTGGCGTCGATATAGCGGGCTGTATTTTATTGTAATGCTGTGCACACGTGAATCTCATGTTTGTGAAACGTAAGCTCAGCGGGCTGAGTCAGCGGGCTCGACGGGCTCAGCGGGCTCGACGGGGTCGACGGGCTCAGCGGGCTCAGTGGGCTCGACGGGGTCGACGGGCTCAGCAGGCTCAGCGGGCTCAGCGGGCTCAGTGGACTCGACGGGCTCAGCGGGCTCAGGCTCAACGGGTTCAGGGGGCTCGACGGGCCCAGCGGGCTCCGCGTTGGTGTGTTCTCTTAGCATTCGTCATTGCGTCCATCGAGGGTGTCATTGCGTCCATTTAGCGGCGTCACTGCGTTCATTTAGCGGCGTCACTGCGTCCATTTAGCGGCTACGTTGTTATCTTCGCTTACAGTAACTATATAAGTGCGCCTGCTGCATGGCCCCTAAGTGTTGAACATACGGCCCCCCCCTCCCCTTTCAACTCCACCCTGGCACGGCTCTTTGTCAACGGCTACAAAGCACCGTCAATACCAGTGTTTTCAGCTCCTCCAGGTTGCAAGAGTGGCCTCAAACCACGCAATGGACAGGGTTTTCTGTGGCTGTCCGGCCAAAAAACCTCGTAAAAGCCGATGGCTTTTCAAGTGTCTAGGCTTCAAAAATGGTCGAAAAGTACTTGGTGCTTCGAAAAGTGTCTTAGGCTTCAGTACTTGGTGCTTTGCCTTAACTTTCGTAACTTTGATCCTCTAGCAAGGGCTTCTGTTGAAGGGTACGCCTGATTCCCTGCTACCTTTCGTTCACCCCCTCCTCTCTCAAGTAGGCGTAAAATCCAAGGAGATGGCAAGATGCCGACAGAAAACTACTCGTACCTAGATTGGACTCCGGTGACAATGAAGATCCATGAAGGGCTAATCCGGTGGCCCAGCAGACCTCAACCTTGCCATAATTAGTTGCAGTACCTGTTGTTTGTTTCACCTTAGGATAAAGCAAGAATAGGGCAACATGTGGAGCTCACCCACCTACGGGAGTTCTCCCACGGAGGTTCTCCTCCGCTTGGAAGACGAAACAGTCTCGGAGCGATTGTCTCAGGCCGAGACTGTGGAACGTCTCCAGTGACCTTGGTCCTTCATGACTGGGGATGCCCCTTGGATTGGACGATCTGCAGCGTTCCGCGTTCTGAACGAAACGATCCGCGGCCCAGGGATCCGCGTTCCTTTGGAGGATGCCGGTTCTTTTGATTGGACTATGGCATCACTTGCTGAAAATCCGTTCCTTTGTAAAGGTAGGCATGAGAGGTCCTTGTAGAGGGATTGAGGACTTGAAGAACCGAGTGAAGGATCACTCGCCCTGGGGTTGTTCAAAGGGTCTAGAATCTAAGACTTGACCCGGTCTGACCCCTATTCCAAAAATTGGCGACATCATCAATTGCCAACATTCAATATCGGTGTTCAGCTTGTTCTGCTGAATATGATGGAAGCACCAGCCCGCGTACACACAGGAACCACTACACACAAGATGCATGTTCGACGAGTTGAATTTGCCATTGGAGAGCATGAGTGAAGATGCTGCCCTGATGCTCAGTGGTGAGCACATGGTTTTACTGCAATGTACGCTATGTAATCAGCAACGAGTTTCTCTTGAATCAGGAAGCTTGGGAGTGTCTCCTAATTGGTCGAGACTCCAAATAATTCAACTTGCTTTGAGTCTTTGTCCACCAGCCAGGGGTCAAATTCGGAACTCAGCATTCCATTGAGATCCAGTGGCCAGACCTGCCCAGTGAGGTGTTTGGGGCTTCATGTTGCAGACTCGTCATCCAGGTTTGATGGACATGACCGGGAATCGAGGAATGGTAAAAAAGCAAGGCCGCGGCCAGTTCCAAGTGAGTATCCTACTATTCTTGTTGTTCATCATGGTGAGGCCAGTCCAAACATCTAGAATTATATAGAAATTATGTATTTGATGTATTTGCATACGTGTGTGTGTGTCAGAGAGAAGCCAAGTAATTTCCCTAAATTACGTAATCTTGGGGAAGAGTCAATCGTTAGCCTCTCATTGTTTGGCTGCGGTGGAAGTCGGTCAAACTGGTGCATAATTCCTGTGCAACTCCCAAAGTAAATGATGTAAGGTGGTTTTCTCTTGTTTTTGGCCTTGTCAATGTCTCTGTTCCTGGCCACATGTTCACATCTAGTGTAATGGAGCCCACGAGCAATTGCCGAAGTAGGTAATTCGTCTAGCTTGTTCAATGTTGCAAAGGTGTGACCTGCCAACAAGCATGACGCACCTTCCAGACCCCTCCAGTTCCTTGTGGTTTCCACCCTGGCCAGCGAAGAAGACGTACTCAGTTTCTTTGCTCCCCGATGGTTGGCCTCTAAACCCAGGGACCATCGAACCATATCGAAGCCAATTCACTGAACCAGAAGCACCCACCCCCCCAGCGACGCTCAAAGTCTCGTGCGCGCAGATTTGGTGAAGAGGATTGTTGCCTTGGATGTAGGGCTGCCTTCTTGTATGTCCGGCTTCGACGCTTGGCCAAAGAGCGGCTATTGGTTGCCGGCAACAGCGTCGGCAATGTTCACGCTGCCTTAAGCCAAAGATGAATAGCGATATTCACGGACCAGTGTATTTTTTCACTATATACAGTACAGTATATAAAGACGTTCAGGTTTGGACATACACTATTCTAAAATGATTTAAAATTGCCTTAATTACAATGATTTAGATGGCTTTTGCACATGCTTGCACCAAGCTCCGGAAGAGACTTACCCTATGCAAGGCCGCAACCCCCTGTTCAACGTTTGATGCATGCATTGGCTTTGGCACCAATATTGAGTGGTTTCTCTTGCTTCTCCGGTCTTTTGCCTTGCTCCGACGAAAAGTCCAAGCCCGGCCCACGACTGGGCCGTCGTTCACATCGTTCGCCGGTGCCGAGTCCGGAGAGTGTCTTCTGGTCCATCTTGTTGCCAGAAGACATCACAACTTCCCAGCACGTGGTCGTTGGTAAATCTGCACATCCGTGAAGATACTGGCAGTCCAAGCATGGGGCAGCATGGCAGATGATATGTGCGTGTGTGTGTGTCCACCCCTGGGCAAAGGGTTTTTTTCCGCCAATTCTCCACCCCAGTTCCACAGGCAGGGGGCGACAGGGTCGCTGCATGGCTGTCGCCAACGAAGCTCCATGCAGTCGACCAGGATGCGGGGACTGATCATCCCCGTGTACCTGCACTTTTAACTTTTGCTCACGCTGTCCAATCGTTTGGTTTGTTTTCATGGTGTTTCATGTCTTCCTCCCCCCAAACAGGTTTCTCAGCCACTTTCAGCAGCCGCGCTTTTTTGCAGCTTGTCGCCGCAGCCGCAGTTGTGCACAAACCACTTGTTAAAACATCTTCAATTGATCGGACCCTTACCGTTGAGCCATTCCTTTCCTCGGGGAATTGAGTTAACTGAATACAATTGTCAAAGTGTGTTTCACTCAGCCGTCCCACTCGGGTGCTGAGTGTGATCCCCGTCATTGGGGCGCTGTCTCATAGTGCAAGCACTAACTGACCTCACCACTTTTCACTCGATTTTCACCGGAAGTCACTGACACAACCACTGAATTAACTGCCACAAAGGCTGCCGAGCCTCACCACGGGAACTGATTTTCCAACAGCCTCCGTCGCGTTCTACAGTTTTGCATTCTTGGCATGACTTTTCTGCATGCAGAACTCAAGCTAGCAGACCTGAGCTTCCAGATTTAATTCGTCATGCATGAACACGCCAGCGCTTGGCTCTGTCAGGCCTCCAATCCAGACTTCACACCATTCGAAAATACACATTTCCACCCTCCAGCGCTGAAGCTGCTGCCGTCGAGCTAGTGTGGCTTTATGTCCAAAACGGACACAACCACCACGCCTGCAACCGGTTTTTGAAAAAGCGCCGACAACGGCGACCTGTGTGTGTCCACCCCTGGGCAAAGGGTTTCTTTCCGCCAATTCTCCACCCCAGTTCCACAGGCAGGGGGCGACAGGGTCGCTGCATGGCTGTCGCCAACGAAGCTCCATGCAGTCGACCAGGATGCGGGGACTGATCATCCCCGTGTACCTGCACTTTTAACTTTTGCTCACGCTGTCCAATCGTTTGGTTTTTTTT